TGTATTGATAATATTTCTTATATATTGGGTCAAGTAAAATTAATTTGGATATATTAAATTTTAATTAATAATAATGAAAAATTTAACTTACTCTGTTTTCTTTTGCAAGTGTGACTACTATAAAATTTATTTTATTTTAATTAATTATTTTGGTACCAGGGATCAAACTCAGGACCTTGCGCTTTGTGAGGTGGGCGTGGTGCCACTGAACTAAATTCCTGGCCCAACTACTATAAAATTTAGAAGTCTTTAAAAAATTTAAAACCAGAGATATGATTTGCATTATATTTCTATTGAAGAACACTGATTTATACTATTTTCTAAATGGAAGGAACTAAAATGTTTAATTAACAAAAAAAATGCTTAATATATGCCTTTTGACAAGTTAATTGGAGTGTCCATGTTTTATACAATGTTTAGTACAAATGATTCTGCTTTCTAGCTATCTGTGCTTAAAATTCAAACTCAATATTTATTGATTGCCCAAGTTGTGGAAATTACTGTGAGAAGAAGAGAAATAATGCTTGTGATATAAACAGACATAAATCAGGGTTTGTATCATAAAAGACATATAAAAATGAAGAAGCAAATGTTATTGAAAATGAATATTCACTGGAAATGTAAAAAATAAGGAAGAACTTAGCATATAGAGTATTATTTTTGTTATTACAATTGCAGGATAGGGAGAGTAAACATATTCCTCCTAAACTAGTGTGTATTTTCTTTTAAAAAACCAAGCAAATAAAGGTGAGTTATTTGATTTGCATGTCAAAGAGACAAATAAATCCATTCACAGAAGCATTATGTAAACATATATATACACACATATGCAACGTATATGTATGTTCAAAGGGTTGGAAAGTGACATATAGGAGGATAAGGTAAGAACAAAGATATCTAAGGTGTTTAAAGTGGAGCGATAACTACATAGAAGGCTGAGATCATAATCATCTTAAATACTAGCATAAGATTTAGTTTGAGGGAAGAGTACACAAGAACTATCTGACCTATAGGACAATTTGCTGGGCAGAGCACATGTATGGCTGGCAGTGGTAAAACATTTACTGTGGGCTGAGTTGATCTAGTTATCACGGTGGGCAACATTTGCTCTAACCACAGGTATTCAAAGAAAATGATGTTAAATGCTTTGAGCAAGCTCTTATGAAGAGGATGGGTTAAAATTGGAAACTGCTAACTGTGACTTATTAAGAGACACAGTATCCATAAATCAATTAAGGTACATTATATTCTATCCCATTGCCAGTATTCATGTAAAACACAAGTTACTGAATATTCCACCTACAGTAGTACATATAAAAAAGTTTAGGCTACTTTAATTTAGTCTACAGTTTTTTTTTTGTCTTTTACTGAAGTAAAATAAATATTTCTTTTCTGATAAGGTTGAAAGAAAACACATTCAGCAATTCTTGGTGCTGTAATCTTACTTTGGCTTTGCTTCTCACACCTTGACCTTATGAAGTGGCATGGGGACATTGTGGCAAGCTCAGCTTTGGCATCTGCACAGACCTAGTTTGGATATTGTCTCTGTCACTCACTGTGTCTGACCTTGGCCAAGTCACTTAATCTGCCTAAGCCTCAATTTTCTTGGCCCTAATATCTACCTCAAAGGGTTGTTTAGGGGAAAAAATATGAAAGCTATTGCTTAGCACACAGTGCCCACAGACATTATTGTCATTATTGTTATTAAAAAGTTGAAAAACTTTCTGAACAGGAAAGTTAGTTTTTACACAATAAAAAATTATAACTAAAGCGAGTATTGTATATGTATGTGAATAATATTATTACTACTGTTAGCCTTTGGAGTTTGGAAGGAGAGATGTAGAGGAGAAAGTTTGGGGAAGAGAGGAGGTCACATGGTGTCAGCAATGAAAGCTGCCTCAACGTGAGCTGGTGTCCTAGGGGAGGTAAATCTGGTGGATGCAAAGAAATACTGAGAAGCAGAACAGATGAGTGAGGAGGTGAAACTGAGTTGGGTGTTCTTCCTCTTACTGCATGCCTGGCCAGCAGAGGTAAAAACAAAGTGAGGTGTGTGAAGAGGGGTGTGAAGAGGGAAGCATTTTTCTCTCTCCTCCCTCAAACTTTGTGCTGCAGACAAATGCTTTCTTCCAGGCTCCTGAGACTCTACTCAGAAGCTGCCTGTTAGGCAACATGTACAGAACATGTACAAAGCATCTGTTCCTAGGCTTTGCTAAATCTGAAAATGTCAGAGTCCTCCTGCAGTGCAGTAGTTGGAGGCTGGGGTAGAGAGGCACTAGCCTGCTACACCAGAATCTGTCACATAGTAGGAAAGTGTAGTGTTGACAAGCTCCAAACAAACGCACACATCCTACAGTGTACACATCCCGTAAGTATCTGAAGCATAAGAAATTCAAGTGTTATTCTGGACAAATGAGAATCTCATTATGTGCCCTTACACATGGTGATGACACAAGAGAAGAAGAGAGAATAGAAATCAATGATAAATTAAGCAAAGGGTATTAACTTTTAAAAGACAAGCATTTTAAATGCCTCTCAAAATTCTGCATTTGCTTGTTTTATAAAACTTTGATCAATGAAATGCAGTGAGGAGTTTCACACTTAGTGATTCGTTCTCCAAAGCCTTTTTAAAGGAACCAGAAAATCTTTCACTTTTACTCCCTAAGCTGAACTTTTTTCATATAGAAAAAGGATTTCTGTTAACTTCATTGAAGGCAAGACTTCGATAACTAAGATCAATAGGGTTTGAGAGCTATATACTGTGTCCTGTAGCTATGATAATATGGTCAGTACTATCTTTATGAAAATGAGAATTGTTTGATGTGTGGATATTTGCAGGTACAGAACAGGCTTCAGTTCTGGGCATCATATTTGTTTATGTCTGTCAGCCATAATGATGTGATCTCTTGGAGGTGGGAATATTCTTTGCCGAATTTCAAGTGTTGCTAAACCATTTAGCAAGGGGATTTGGGATTTCATTGAATTCATATAGAAAGTAGGAGTAGCAGGAAAAGAAAAAACTAAATGGCATATTTTCAACATAGGAATTGTCTGGATTTTATATTTTACCAATTTGGAAATGACACAGTCCAATATCATTTGCATATTGAATTAAATTCTTTTTTTAAATATGAATTTTCTAGATTCAAAATAATTTTTATGGATCTAGAGCAAAGCCAAATCTTGGTCCCAGTATAAGGCTGTAACATTATTTCCTTGGTCAGTCCAAAATAAATTAAGATGATTCTCCTTTTCCCTGATAGAATTTCCTTAAATTTATAACTTTATAAACTATAAATTAATTTTTCTTCAATTCTAAGGCAATATCCTAAAAAGAGTGTAGTCTTTGAGCTTATCAATTTTGCTTAATTTTTCACTCTTGTTTTAATAAAACATTGACTGTCTTTTGATAATTAAATGTATTTTTATGTTTCTTTATTTAAAAGATGCAACATCTGACTTTCTCTTCATAGAGAAAACTTTTTGTTTGCCTTTTTTACTTCTTGGCTCTTTGAAGAAGAATCTCTAAATGAAGTAGCATTGTATTAAAATTATCTTCATATATAAAGGCTTATGCTAATTGTGACAACACCTGACTATTTTGATGACAAAGATGATACATCTTTGTAGCAGATTTCTTTTTTTCTCTCTCTCTCACCACTAGTTGCCAGGATCTTGTCAGAGTAGAGAAATTGGAAGATTGATTGGTGTTCTTTTCATTTTCATTGATTTACCTGGATTCCTGACTCACTGATGAATGTGTACTATCAGGTACCATGGATTATATGTATGAGAAGAAAAGATAAAGAGCTTAATAATAAAAATAATGAAGACTACCATTTATTTATTACAATTTGCTAGGTATTGTGACAAACACTTCACACACATTTTCTCTTTTTATCTTTTTAACAACCTGATCTTATAAATCAGGAAGCTGAGTTTAGAGAGCATGATTAATTTCTTCAATGCCAACAATGAAACTTATTTTACTCTAGTTTGTCTAACTTCAGAATCCAGACCAGATTGTGTATGATCATATTGAATTCAAGAGGTTTAAGTTAGTCATATTTTTAGTCTTCATAGAGGATTCAAAAACCACAAGGAGCTTAGATCCCTTGCAGGAAAAAGACATGAACCCAAGTAATTGATTAATGATTTTAAACCAGTTTTATGAGTGAGCTTGAGTTTTCCTATGGAGTTAGCCTCTTTTGCTTGATATCTCCCTCCACATCTTTCAGTCCTGGAAAGTAGATGCTTTTTTAACAAAATTTATGTTCCATGCACATTGGTTCAAGCTAAATTTAATGGAGATAGAAGTTTCTATGACTCTCTCTCAATCCCATTACAATATCATTATCTTTCAAGTAATGAAAAACAACTTTTGCCTGTGTCATTGCTTTTATTTCACAAGTATGCCTTTGCTAAATTTTACCTCTAGAACACTCCTTTTCCCTTCTTCTCCAATCCGTTGGCTCAAGGTCGTTGTATCTCTGGTTTGGTTGATCTTATTTTTCTTTCTACCAGCATATGGCACCTCTCTCTGTAGACTGTCTTCACTGCCTCTTACCATTGTGGTGTTTTTCTCTCAATCAGAGATTATATCAAACCAGACCTTAAAACTGTGAATTTGGGTCTGGGGATTTAGCTCAGTGGTTCCACTGCCTCCCTCGCAAGCTCAAGGTCCTGAGTTCAATTCCCAGTACCAAAACAAACAAACAAACCCCAAAACTCTGTGAATTCACAAGACTTTATGAATTAGAGGTAACACCTTTCACTCTGCTTCAAGGGCTTTTCTCAAGGTTACTCTTACAAGCTCACTGGCCTCATCTCCTTTTATCTCCCAACTTTCCCCATCTGCTCATAATAAAATTCATTATGTTTCTGAAGCTTAACAAACCAATAAAGTAAATTCTAAGTGTATCCTCCATGCTGGTTACTCCCTCCCATTTTTGATGACATTGGACAACTTTACCAAATGTAATATAATTCTTTATGATACAAACTCGGTCAAATGTTGATTATCTCATATTTCAGCATACAGGTTGAGGATGAAGAGCAGGTAGAAAGAATCTTTCATACAATAGACATGCTTTTTCCCATGTTGGATTCTTCTTTAATGGAGGAGACCTCATGGTTCATGTTCCTGTTAAGTTAATCATCAAAGCATTAGAAAGTAATTTAAAAAGTATGTGTGACTTCTTTAATTATATTTACATTTCAAAGAGAATGCTGAAGAAGAACATATTGGAAATCAGCATTTATAGAACACTTACTAATTGCCAGATACTATTGTTATTGGAGTTATCTATATAAAGAAATATAAAATATATGTATTATGTTTAATCAAATGACATTATCTGACTTAGGAATTGGTATTTGTGTTTTACAGATACAAAATAATAGCAATGGGGTGGGATCTTCCTGACTCTACAGTACATAGTCTCTGTCATTGTTGCTTCTTCAGAGAACTTCAAAACCCAAAGGTGGCTAAATATGCATATTTATTTGGTTTTTTCTTAAAGTAGAACTTATGAACCCCAATTTAGCAATAGACTTAGATGTTATAAAATATATTCATATGTACTATTTTGTTTCCAAAGCTTCTAAGGGCCATTTATCTCAGTGTGGTTGATAATATATCCAAATTTACTAAACTTGGTTCTTTCTGATCAGTGTATCACCCAGATATTTGCAAAATCTTCCATTCAATTTCATTCAGCTCTCAACTTAACCACTAAATTCTTTTTTAAAAATTAACCAATAATGTGATGTGAAGTGCAGAATTTCTATAATCATAGGGAAAATCCCCCCTACAAACATCAGTGTGTATCCATGAAGTTGACAGAGTCATTGTACTTTTCCTCTTATTAAGGAAATTAGAAAGAAATGGAGAGCCCTATAGAGATCCACACAGTCTTTAGAGTCCTCACATTTAAACGGCAAAGTAAAGCAAGAAAAAATTCATTAAAATTTGGAATCTGGAGTTTATCTGATTGTGTAAGGATAAGACTACTGGGATCTGTTAACAGGAAGACAGACTTGAATTGAGAGGGATAATTAATCTCTTGAGATTCAATAAAGAAAGAACGCATTTGAGCTTATGGAACACCCTGAAATACCTATGAATACTAGTTTTTTAAAAATGAATCATTTACTTGGATGCTGGCTCTGGGAAAAGAGGGTCTTTGGAAAGTGATTGTAATTGAGGACTTGGAGCCATTTATTTATTTATCTATCTATCTATCTATCTATCTATCTATCTATTTATTACCTTTCTAGTCAGTTGAAAGAATGAGTTGATAGTGATTGAAACAATTTGCGTTAAGAACTTTCCTGCAGTTCTGGATTTTGCATCCAACCAAGAGGAAAATGTTATTTTACAGCCTTTGTGTTGGTGTTGATGGGTTCTGAGGAGACTTCATGAAGAAGGAAGGTGGCAGAGGTAGATAGGGCGCTTCTGAGAGAAAAGCTTAAATGTTGACTGTTATCCAAGGAAAGGTAATCTTAGGAAGGTAGTGTTAACCAGCCTCTCCAGAGAAATGTTGTATTGGTGGTCACTGTCAATTCTTGTTTTGAAAAAATAAGGGCTAGTAATAAGTATGTTTTTAATTTATGTATATACCCTTTCCTCATTTTTGTGTGGCTTATCTTGGTTGTTTCACTGCAATTCTTATGCCTTTTATTCTCAATTGAAATGAAAAATGAAATGTATAAATCATTGCAAGAAAATTCTGTAAGCTTTCCTTATTCTGAAGCCTGACAGTAATTATTATTAAGGGATTATAGGAAAATCTTACAGTGTAATTTAGGGACTCTCAATTTATTCACAGATATTCTACTTCTACTTTGCTTAGCAAAGACATTTTCCATCTTTGTGATAAAATCTAAACTTTGCTTATTAACTTGTTTGGTCTTCAACAAATATTAATTCAATGCAAGCAGCAATAATAAAGTATAATAACAAGAGCAAACATTTATTTAATTCATCGTATATGCCAAGTACTGTGCTAAGTACTGTATAGATTATTTGATTTACTCTTTACACCAGCCTTATGAGGAAGTTATTATTATCACTATCCTACTTTACAAGTGGAGACATGGAGTTAGGGACATTTGGAAACTTACTTGAGCAGGATAGATAGGAAATAATGCATCTATATACAAATCCAAGTCTGGAAGTTAAATTATAGCATTGTTTATCCATTCCTGAGAAGGGAGAAAGGAGTTGTCAGATAAAGTATAGAACACTTAGTTGAATTTGCATTTCAGATAAACATCTAATAATTTTTAGTGTAAGTGTGTCCTAAATATCACATGGAGCATGGACATTCTATATTGATATTTGCTAGATCTGGCAACCCTAGGAACATTTGATTATTTGCAGAATCAACTTTGAGTCAGCAAGTTCTTTGGAGGCCATCTAGTCCCACCATCTTAGGATGGAGGAGAAGAGAGGCTCCAGTCTTACATTTTTTGTTTGCATGAATGGCAGTAAGGAGGTGTACAGGACATTGCTGTGATGCTGTCTTAACTTCTCAGCAATTTTTCACTTCACTATTGAGTTAAGTTTCTTTGTTTTTTTGAAAAGCATTCATTTTCTGCTTGTTTTCAAAATTTTTGTTCAGGAAGCAAATAATAAATACTGATGTAAAGGAATGTAGAGTTAGGGAAGGAGGAACAAGTAAATACAGTTACTGGCTGCTCCTGTGTACCAACAATACCCAATATTCCTTCGTATGGCATCTCATTTCATAGAGTAAGAGACATTAGTATAATGGCTTATATTTAACATCTGCTTGTCCTAGTCAAGTTTGCTTTAGACCTTAGCTGGTGGGTCCAATTTGAATGACTAGCAGTGTTATCAGAGAATGAATAAGTAAGAAAGCATTGTATAAAGTATCATCCTTTTAGCAGATAGTAAATTAAAATGTTGTATAATCCACTGGAGTTCAATAGCAGGTCATTTTCTTCAAAGAACAGAGAGGTATTAATTAGTCTGTTGCTTGGAGGCTTCATTATATATGCTTCATTCCCTTTGCTGTTGTAACAAACAGTTCTTGGGTGCTTGGGCACTGACTGATTAACTTGCAGTGCTTCCTTCAGATAACTCTCCTCTGACAGACACTGGTAAATAGGAGAAGATGGGGTAGAGGAATAAAAAAACCAAAAAATATTATGATTCTCTGCATAATGTAAGAAAGCAAATAAATGTAACAACTTGGCACACAGCAAAATGCACCTCCTGGGTGTCTGTCTCTGTGATGGGGTTCCTTGGGCCACAGGCAAATGCACTAGAAGCTTTCTGCTATTGGAACTGTAAACATCTAAGAGATTGCAGAAGCTTCTTGGAAAGACCTTGTTTTTGAAAAGAGAAAGATGGCTCTCCATCAAAAATGGAAAGTTGAGATTATTCATAGTTGAGGAATAAAAATCCATTAATGTGTTGAGTATAATAAGGTACACAGTTGTTGATTGAATTTTTTTCTTTTCTTCTTTTTTTTTTTTTTGGTACCAGGGATCGAACCCAGGTCCTTGCACTTGCGCAGCAAGCGGCAAAACCACTGAGCTAAATCCCCGGCTGTTGATTGAATTCTTAAATTATCCCTGTCAAAAAGTGGCAGTTTTTAGCCAAATAGAATTTCTCTGAGATTACTTTCACATCAAAATTTTTCCCTCCAAACCCGGTCTTTCTTCCCAAAACATATGTATTGCAGTCATTATCAATTTGGTTTGAATAAAGAGTATACCTTTTAGCTTTTGACTGCAAACTATATGTAAATTTACAAAAAACTTACAAAAAGTGGTATTGAGAGTTTTCACATATTCCAACCCTAGGCTCAGTGTTAACAATCTTATTAACCAGAGTGCAATGATCAGAATCAAGAAAAGTTGTTACAATCCAATAACTAAACAAATTAAAGATCTTATTCAAATTTCATCAGATTTTTCCTCAGTGCTTTGTTGTTTGGCCAGGGTTCCACATTGCATTTTGTTGTTATTTCTCCTCAGTCTCCTGAAATCCATAATAGTTTCCCATCTTTCCTTGACCTTCAGAGTTTGACATTTTTGAAGGGTATAGATCAGTTATTTTGCCAAATATCCCTTAATTTGTGTTTGTCTGGTGTTTACTCATAATTGGGTTGAGGCTATGCATTTTTGTGGCAAAAATTCCACAGAAATGCTGTTCCTCCTCAGTGCCCCATGCAATAGGGATCATGAAGTCAATATGTTTCATTACTGGTACTGCTGATTGTGCTTTCTTGGTTAAGGTGATTTCTGTTACATCTCTTGTCTTTACGGTTGCTACCTTTTTCCTTACTAGTGACAAGTAGTAAGGGGAAAATGCTTCAAGACTATGCAAATCCTATTTGTGTTTGAAGTTTCACCCCCTGATTTTTGCATGGATCTTGATTTTAATAATGATTACCATAGTTTTGGCTTAATGGTGATTTTCCATTTTCCTCTTTTAGCATTTATGAACTGGAATTCTACAGGAATTCTGCTGTTTATCTGTGGATATTTATTTGATTCAATGGGTCATAATCCAAAGTTATCTTTATTTAATTTGCTGCTCAACTCGTTTCAGCCTTTGCCAACAGGATCTTCTTCAGATTTTTGCTTGTGCTTTTACGTTAAACCCTTATCTATTTTTTGCACATTTTCTTACTTTTTTTGCTTCACTCTGTCCCAGGCTCATTTGTATTTTCCTCACTTTACTCATGAAATCAACCACTTGTCCCAGCTTTCATTTATTGGGGAGTGGTATTTAGCAATCTAGATCTTAATGCCAGGAGTTCTCATTACTAACCACAGGAGTATCATTGCTCTAAAATCTCTCAGCAGGCAGAGGCAAGAAATATATACATTTATATCAATCTGTGCATATATTTGTGCATCTACATTTCTGTATCTATGTGTATATATATTTGAAGTATTATAATTATACTGTAATCTCAGGGTTCATTTTGAGTTTCTTCATTTCTTTTTTTTCCTTTTATTATTACATGTTTGCCATACATAATGATTCATTTATTGTGGGGAGTTGGTACAAGTACATAATTAATTCTTTCTTCTCCTCTACCCCACCTCACCCCACTCCTCTCATTTCTTGGTCTTCTTCCCATTGGCAAAATATCTATTTCCAATTGTTTTCCATTATTTTTTTACTCATATTCCCTCCCTTTCCTTCCCATTCCTCCATCTCTTGTTCCTTTTCCTAACTGGAAAAGATTTGCCTACTTCTTCTTATTGTTTATTTTCCTCTTTATTTATGTTTTGGGTTTCTCATATAAGAAAACCCATATGATATTTAAGTCTGTGTCTGATTTATTTCTTTTAACTTTATAGTCTCAAGGTGCAACCATTTTCTTACAAATGATTCAAGTGTACCCTTCTTTATTGTAGAATAGTACTCCAATGTGTATAAATACCACATTTTCTTTATCCATTGATCTGTTGATGGACATACAAAGTTCTTCCAAGATTTAGCTACTATGAACTGTGCTGCTATAAACATGGTTATATATGTATCACTGTAATGTAATGCTTTTTAAAAAATCTCTTTTGGGAAGATACCTACAAGGGGATTAGCTAGATGAGATGGAATTTCTACTTTTATGTTTTTGATAGATCTCCATAATGATTTTCGTAGTGGTTGTATTAGTTTACATTCCAACCAACAGTGTATGTTTTCTTGTAATCAATTCTTCCTTACACAAAGAGTAGCATACTTAGATGTTCTTCTTCACTTTGCTTTTTTCCCTTAACAGTGAATCCCGGAAATCATTCCATATCAGTTCATAGAGATCTTCCTTAGTATTTTTTGCAGTGGTGTTATACCCTATTGTATGTATATGTGGCAGTATTTTCTTCATGTACCACTTTTCTTAGGAGAAAGTCATGTCAGTTAGCAGACTAAGAAAATTTCATATAATCACAAGAGAGAGTGGAAAACTTAAGAAAAAACGTAAAACTGGGCAAAGACGACACATGTGGCTGCTACATTTAGTATTAATCTAGGTGGAACAAACCTAAAGTAAGTCATAATAATTTATTATCCTAATGTTCTTGGAGCTAAGTTTTTGTCAGTTTCTGTGAATTTTTTTTGAAACACCTTAAGATAGCGATTAAAAGTAGTTTCAGCCATTAGATGGTTTAAATCATGAAAAAGAATTAGACTTTTACAACCTGCTGGTGGTGTACATTTGGGCATGTTACTTCATATCCCCACATCTCCTTTTCTCTAATCTATAAAATAGCGCTAGAAGGAATAACTTCCTCACAGGTTTAAAAAGAAGGCACAGGAAAGACTGAGACAGTGCTTTAGTGGAAACATGGGGTAAGCTAAAATTTGGGTAAGAAAATCAAATCGTTATTGTGTTGCCAATTGCTCTTACATACTAAATTCTGCAATAAACTGAAGTTTTTTATAAAACTTTGTTTTTATATATGGTTTTTTAATATGGTTTTGTTTACATATATAACTGACAATACTTGATATTTTAAAAAATTAATAGCTGTTTTTATACTAAAGCAATTGTGAGAGACATAGATAAAAAGAAAATGACTATTAATTTTACTAAGTAAAACAAGCCATTATTTAATTTATTTATTTTTTGGTACCGGGGATCGAACTCAGGTCCTTGCGCTTGCGCAGCAGGCGGCAAAAGCACTGAGCTAAATCCCTGGCCCTAACAAGCCATTATATTAGTGTAAATGCTTCTAGATAATTTTCTATACTTATGTAAAAAGTGTATATATTTCAACAAGAGAGGTATAATATAACCAAAATGTTACGATATTCCATATACATGCCTTATCCATTTCCAATTTTATTGTGAGTGTTTTTCCACAATAAAGCCTGACCAGATCATTTGATTATTTCAGACTAAGGTTCGATCAATCAAATGTGAAACAAACTTGAATATGCAGGTGACAAACTAAACAAAAAGCTTAACAAACATGGGTGCTTGAATGATCTGGGGCCTCAATTTGACTCACTGTCTATTTTTATAAGTGCAGTATTTTCTAAGCTCTTACCTAGAAAAGGTATAGTGAAATCCAAGGAATCAATCTTTTGCTTTTCTTTGAACTTTTGTTTGTGATGTTCATTTTAATGGTATTGAAAAGTAAGGGAATTACTTCAACTTCAAACATACATTTTTTTTTTTTTTATCAAAAATGCTTGATAGAAGCCTCCAAGCTTC